TATTTATGTAAACAGAGTTCAAATTGTTACATACTAAAAGAAACTACTGAAATAATAGATAAAAAAATATCAGAAAATCATAAAAAAACAAGAATTATGTAAACGAATAAGTCACAAATACAATTAAATATGTGACGACAAGTGATGTGATAAAGTAATTGTTCAATTGCGTATTTTCCTATTGTAAGCGCCTCCACATTTACTCTTATCGCACAACCATGTTTGTGTGGTTGAATGACAGCACGACTTGTTTTTCGATGAATTTATATTTATATTGATGAAGTAATTTTCTAATGTTTATTTTGGGTTTATGCTTTATGGTATAGACTGTTGAGAGAGGAGAGATTATTCATAAATACATCAGACGGGGCATCATGTAGATACACTAAGTTACAATAGCAGCGTCAAAACATAGCAATCAGAAAAAAATTCTTCAAAAAATAAAAGGAATGAAAAAGAATAAAGACATAGCCCGAGAAAAATATGCAGACATGTAGCTACGGGAATACGTTTTCGTAGTATTTTGCTTATCCGTCTCTCTTAGTTTGCTTATAGTATTTTTAGGTTATTTATACGTTCTCTCTCCACGATCCGATTTTCAATAGTATTGAGTTTATTTTCATTTTTTCATTTTACTCTGCCTTCAGCGCTCAAAGTCGTAACACTGTGAAACAACCGTGCGAGTTTTCGTGAGTTAATTGAAAAAAAAATTAAGTTTTTTCTGCTAATATAAAGAAAAAAAAATTAAACGAAAAAAATTAACACGAAAAAAAAGTATTTTTAGTGAAAGAAAGTGAAAAAATTTAACAAAGTAAAGCGTGAGATTCGTGAGTCGAAAGTCTCGTTAGACAAAGTTGCAGTAAAATATATTGAAACTTGAAGAGAAGTTATTGCGCTCTTTTTCTCAAAATTTACACTCTCGAGATTAACAAGAAAAATTTCGTATGCATTCAGAAAATTGATACTAAACTGAAAAATACGATATTTATCTGTCTGCGATTAAAAAATGAGGAATGAAAAAGAGAAACTTAAACGAAGAGAGAGAGAGAGAGTGAGGGAGAGAGAAAGAGAGATGAATTTTAAAAGTATCGGTGAACCCTAAACATCGTGTGTAACTTTTCCTTGGTGTGCTTCGCGGAAATATTTACAAAAGAAAAAAATTGCCAAACATTCATAAATATATCAAAAATTGTCAAAAAATGTACGCATACTGTAAAAAAGAAATTTAATTGCGTAATAAATATCTGTGCAAAATAAAGGAAATCATTATGTTGTATGTTTATGAAAATTCATTAAATAAAGAAAAATAAAAAAGAGACCAACGTGATAAGCAGTAGAAAAAAGTTTAATATATAAATTGAATGTGCGTAAAATATAATTTTGGTGTTAGTTTTTTACTCTTATGATCTATAGTGTGGAAAAAGTGAATTAAAGAATATTGTCACAAATACACATGCACAAAACCAGAACGATCTTTACAAAAACAAAGTTTGCTTACTTTTGTTCTCGCCTTTCACAAGAAAGGTATTGCATTAAAGGAATATAACATTAATTAACCAAGTGTTGTCTTCCTATAGTCACAAAGACTGTATATGGAAGAATAGAAAAAAATTTCTAGAAACCAGAAAACATTGACTCAAATATTGCAAAATCAGTAAGAGAAATCATTTACTTATTTGTTATCCTTATTGTCATTAAACACCCTTTATTCTCTCGAATCAACACTTTCCCCAGCTACTGCCATATCAAGAGTTCATTGTATAAATATTTTGAAGAAATTTTGCATTTCAACATTTCTCGTCGCAATAAAACAAGTTTAAGGAATTTCTTAGGACAAAAAATGTCGCTAGATAATTCTTATTTCCTGGAAAATTGCAGATAAAATTAAATATAAACGTTTCTTTTTCTTCAATAATCTTTAGGAAAAACAAATTTCGTAATGATTTCTACAGAAGTATTAATTAGCTCTGATCGAAATGAATTTGCCAATTTGGTATTTTTGTGTGTTTTTAGTTCAAGTTCATATAATTCGATTGTTTCATGCGTATTGAAATTTATCTATGGTTTCTCCTTGTAGTTCCTGTTTTTTAGTTAGTAATATGAGAAAAATACATTATTTATCAACAGTGAAACATTTTATGATATTTTATGAAATATCTACATATAAATTTAAAATGATTAGTACATGTTTGGTGCGGAGGAGAGAAAAAAACTGAACAAAGTCGTACATCGAAAATTTCTTTAGTTAAGTAAAAAAAACAATATTTTTTTGCCGCTAGCAGTTACCTAATTTTCTCTCTTCAACCTACTTTCATTGCTATTTTACATATATCTAGTTGCAAAAAAAAGTTGTTAAAAATTATAATATGAAATCGTAGTAAACTATGAGTGAAGAATTATTTTTATTTGAAATTATTCTTCTAACTTGCTTCACAGTTGGAGAATGATGTTTTATATTAAGTACCAGCCTTTCTAAAGCTTTAATCTTAATATGTGATTGGAATTTGAATTTTAAATTTAATTTAGTTTCTTTAGGATAAACTAGTAAACCATGAAAACAACAGAGAACCGTTCGAAATTAATTAATACATAATTTGATTGAATATACAAGCAAATATATTTGTCTTGACATAATCGCTATAAAAACGTTGTTTTGTTTCTCAAACACACACAAGTGCATTTCATGAATTATTTTCGCGATTTTTTCGTTTCCACGAAAAAATTATTAAGGTCAAATAGTGGGACTTAGATTGTGTTATGTGTAAGTACATGAATGAGAAGCGAAAAATTATTTTAAGTAGTGTATCATTTCATTGTTTCTTTTTGTAATGAATTCAATATTTTGGGTAATAAATTTATTTGCAAAAAAATAAAATTTGAATCGATTTCAATAAGGGGTCAGATCATTTGCCATATTAATTAATGAGTGATTCGAGGAAATCTTCTTGATTTGAGCTAACGCGTAATCCAATAACGAATATTAAAGAAAATAAAGTTCAACTTTTTTACGCAATTTTTTCATGACGAGCTAGAAAAACAAACATCAAATTATTATCGCTTTTATTTTTCCTACCTTGGTTTAAATGGTATTGAGTGTTGTTATGAAGCCAAAAATTGAAAACATCTCCACTTCTCTCTTTTCTTCTTGTTACACGACACGGTCCAAAACCATTTGTGTTTACAAAATATTCAGAAAAACAAGGCACATTGGTGACGACAGAGGTGACGACAAACAATGTTAAACTGTATTAAAAAATTCCATACGCACAGAAACTTGATGTAAACTAGATCCGGTTACATTGATCGAAGAGAAAAACAATCAATGCTTGATGTTTATTGCGAATTATAGATTTGTTTGTTTTTTTTCTTCATATCTATATGGAAGAATGAAACGAATTACATAAATTTAAAGTCCCTTGTGTGGATGTATATAGGCAAAGAATAGGCAGATGATTGTACTAGTGATCGCTGCTAGGAGATATAAAAACATAATCATCAGTAATGTAAATTTATTTCAATTGTGCCTGATATGTGCGCTAAAGTATTTCTTATTTATATAAGTAGAAATTGAGAGAAAAACAACAAGACATAAATTAATTTTTAGTTAGAGATAAGTACGTATGTTGAAGCAATTGGGATTTGAAAGTATTTGTATACTACAAATAATCATTGAGCATATTCTCAATCAAAAAAATTTTTGAAGACAAATTGTCAACAGTGTAAAGCTACATTGTAGTTAATAGCAAGATGAACTCTGATTAAAAAAAATTAGTATAGATTTTATGAATTAAAAGATTTTCAAAGCCATTCCACTTTTTATAAATTGCTATTTTGCAATTCTTTTTTATAAATACTTCCTTAAGTCAGTAATGGTGCATAATAATAATAATAGTGAGAAGAAAAATAGCCACAAAGTTTCTGAAAGAAACAAATCTACTTAGGTACAAAAAAACTGCAAAAAATATGTAAAACTTTGTTTTGAACAACAATAAAATTACCTGGGTGCGCAGTGCGAAGCTAAATTTGCTTTGCGTGTGTATCAGAAGCAATTTCTTATAAGCAATTTTTTTCTGTTCAGCTTTTTAATCTTTTCACTTTGTCTCTTCGACTACAATCTACCGCAAATATCTACCAGAATTATGGCAACGACCTTGTTTTATTTTAAAGAAAACAACCGAAAATGCGAAAAAGAGAAGAATTATTATTTATGGAGTTGTTGCCTTCTCTTTTTCACTATTTTTTTCTTAGTTCATGCACTAAGTCTGCCTCCAAGAATATCGTTTATTTTACCTTTTTTCTCTCTTCACTCGAAAACTTCATTTATGAGTGATTTTTCTTTTGTATAGTGTTAGTGTGTAGACAAATATTTTAATGGCGTTGCAAATTATGTTGATGATGGGAACTTATTCTTCAACAATAATGAATATATTCTTAGTGTTTTTTTTTCCTTCTTCTGACTAAGTTTTTGCTATTTTTAGATCGTCATCAAATAGCTTTTCAACAGCAACCGTCTATTCTACCATATTTTTTTTATTTACTATATTACTGTAAGAGTTTCTCTCACAATTTGAACTCGAAATCGTGATGTGATAAAAACAGAAAAAAAATTGTTTTATCAATTCAATTCGATGATTGTGTTGAGTCCTCAAGTTCAAGAGCTTTCATCGTTCACCCTCTCTCATTCTCATTAAAGCTTCTTGCAAGGTTATCATGAGGGATTAACAAATAAATGATATTTTTTTTTTCATTTCTTGTTCTTTTTTATTCAATGTTTTTTAATGTATTTTCTTTTTTAAACTGTTACTATTTCCTTTCCGCAATTTTAAGTTTACAATTACTATCTGTTTTTAATAGTAAGCAAGGAATTTGTAAACAAACCAATGACTTACATGGCTCTGTGGCTAAGTATTTAACCTAGATATAATGAATGATTTCCTGAATTTTAATTGTGCTAGAGATGAAATCAGACTTAGATAAAGGCACCAGAAGATATCCTGGAACTTCCAAAAAACAGAAACAACTCGACAACAATTTCTCATTGTTTGTTTCATTTGATTTTACAACTTGTTCTATCCTCTGAAGTTTACAAATGTTTGACTTAAAATTCTCTACAGAAAAAAACGCTTACTTAGAAAATCCTCAATGTTCAAAATTGTAAAATAATTGAAGAAAGCATTGAATTTGAACAATTTCTTTTTTCTCACCAATATGTTTTGGAAAAACTCGTGTTAGTCTTCTTCCACTTTAAGAAACTTTCGACTCGCAATAATAACAAAAGATCGATTGTTTTGAAAAATATTACTTATAAAACAGAAAAATCAATTACTCAATCATAACTTATAATTTATATATTTTCTCCTTGCAGTTAATAACTACGATTGTACACTCCAATATCCTACAACGCTGTATTGATGGGACTCGTCAGACATTTTAAAATATGTCGAGTAATACGAATAATAGTGCTGGACATAGCAGTCACAACAATCTTTTAAGTAATCTCATTCATGCAATGAATCATTCTCTGCCGTCATCAAATACAATGACGACGTCAGGCGATGGTGCCTCAATATCGTGTTTAAATAATTCGGCAAATCGCCAACAGCCATTATTACAAGGCACACTTTATAAACTTCATAAGAAAAGTGGGAAGAAACAGAAATATTTCGTAATATTCGATGATGCACCAGACAAACCTGGAACAGCACGACTTGAATATTTCGATAATGAAAAGAAATTTCGCTCATTAATGGCTAAAAGTCCTGATAGTGGAATTACAAATCAAAAACGTAGCATTATTCTATGCACATGCTTTAACATAAACAAACGGATCGACACACCCAAATATAAGCACGTAATCGGACTATATCGAAAAGATGATACATTCAGCATCATTATGAAAGATGAAAAGGAAATGAATGAATGGTTGAAGCAACTTCTTATTCTTCAACGGGGAAAAGAATTACTCGATGGCGATCAGCCACGACCTACATTTGGTAAGTTTTACATCCCTTCCTAAATAAAAAATACTTCAAACAGTTTTATTTGGGTTACAAAACAATTTTCGCTAGACTTGGCTCAATGGCATTAACAAAAATTTAACTTAATATAGTTTTACAGATAATACATTCGCATCAGTGAAATGATTTGAAAAACAAATTTGTCTGAATATATTTCAACCTTAGTGGAAAAGAAAAATGTTTTAATTATTTGAAGTTTCAATACTTACGAACTTTTTTTTCTTGATTCTGATTATTGAATCTTGAATCATTCTTGTCCACAATTCATCGTTTACTTTAAATATTTATATGAGCATTTTCATTAAAATGTGATTGTTACTTCATATTAAAAATGTGCACACAAATAAAAATAATTTCATGACATTTAATGGGCGGTAGACAGTGGCGTAATGTTGATGAAGGAAAAAGCATTGAATAAAAAGAAGCTAAAGAAAACTGTTGCGTTCGTATTCCGAGACGTAAAGCAATTTAAATGAGGTTATTTATGGATAAAGACACATCAAGAAATTAGTATCGTCGATTCTATATTTAGAAGAGAACACACAAAAATTAAGCAAAATGGAAAAGAAAAAATATAAATTAAAAATAATAGCAAGTAAAAATAAAGCCTGCCGGAGACAAGGGTGAGGCATTTAAATGTTTGTTTATGTTACTATACATTAGATGCCCTAAATTAAGTCGAAAACTTAGTAAAATATAGAATACAGTACAAACTCGATAGTACGATATTTAAGGGACCGCGTGACATCGAAAGAAAAAACAGGAGACAAAGAATTGAATACCGCGATATCGAGCGTTCGTATTATCGAAATTATACTGTAGATACATAAAACAATTAGTGTCTTTAAGAATCAAAGTACAAGCAACATGCATTTTGGTTTCAATAATAAGAAGGTATTTAAAATATGTATTCGTATTTGACAGTTAAAGTAAAGTAAAATATATCTTTCTGTATAACAGATTCCTCACAAATAATAATAATAAGAAAAGTGTGCTTAAGTTTTCCGTTTTCCTAAATTCTTTTTAAAGTTTGAAGATTGTTTCAGTGATAAGCAACAGCTTTTCCTGAAACTTTAATATTAATATTTTTTGAAAAAAGTGATATTTAATTAGGTTGTGAATTAGAGTTTATTTATTTAATTTTTTAACATTTTTATAAAATAGGAACAGACTTTGATTCAAAAATTTAAAGTTAAATTGAATCAGAACAAGTCGTAAAATGAAACGATTTTGGGTAAAGCAAATTTTAAAATAAAAAGAACAATAAAAAAATGGAACAAATAATGTTTCATTTTACGACCTGTTCCAATTCAATTCAAGTCAAATCGAACTGCTGCAATCCCTTGAGAAAGTGAAAAAAAAAGATGTTAACCAATGTTCCTAACTTTATTATTAAATAGTTTACTTAATTTACGTTCTTAATTATCTTCATACTGTCAACAGGAAAAAGGAATATTGACACGTTTGATTGAAAACTGTGTCATTGCATTGAGCATAGAAATATATTTGTAATGTCATTGACTTTCCGATTAGATTTTCATGTCCTCGAGGGATGAAACATAATAAATAAAAAGAAAATAGAGAAAAGTACAGATAATAAAATTCCGTAATAAAACAAGAGGGGTTGTAAAGAAAATAAATAAATACCTATATCCTTAAATTGAATGCCTTAGTTGTTCTCAGATTTAAAAAGAATATCCTAAATAAATGTGTCATTCTTCTGTATGCTCATGAAAGTCTTTAAACGAATGAGGAAATAAAATAGGGTAATAATAACGTTAAAGTTTTATAGTAAAGCTAGTAAAATAATCAATTGTCCGTGGTTGTGTGCACATAATTTCGAAATTTTAAAATGAGTGAAAATATTATTTACAAGTTACCTACTTTGTCGTATTTTTTACATTACATAAAATTTCTTTCTCTCTGTTTCTTAAGTGTATCATTTGTATTTTGTCAGCTTAATTTTTTGTTTCTTCACATTGATGCGAAAATACGGTTTCGCAGTTTTGATTTCTTACTCATTTTATAATTTATAAACGTCATAAATGTCAATGAAGTTAGCTTGTAGGTAAATCTATTTAATTTACAAAGTAAAAAAAACCAGCTCATAGTAAAACATGTGACTTTATCTCAATTATATTTTACAAAATAAAGTCAATTGACCATTCAACTTATGTATTTGAGATTGTTTTTCGTAAAATTTATTGAGATGAGATCTAAATATCAATCACCTAGTTGATTAAATTTAAGGGAGAATGAACAATTCATTTTATTTCAATTTCATTGAATAAGGTGGAATGCAGAAAAATCCTTACAATAATTTCTTTCTTGAGAATATCCACTGTGAGGAGATCACGCTGTGCATTTCATAAAGGTTTGTGAAGTAATTAAGGATCCTTTTATTTTATTTTCATTACAGAGCACGTCTGGGAGGTAAATGTAATTAGACGAGGATTGGGTGAGAGTTATGGCATTATCGGTAGTTATCGATTGTGCATTACTGATACCACACTGTCACTTGTTCGCGTTGGGCCAGCAACTACGAGCGCTGGTGAAAGTCGTGTGGGACATGTTGAGTTTGCACTGGCAAACATGAGACGGTGAGACTACGGAAATTAAGGGAAATTGGAATGTTTTATAAACCACAGTTTATTTTTTCTTCAATTCTTAGATGTGGCTCCACTCTGAGTGTTTTCTTCATGGAAGTTGGACGTTATACTCCGATGGGAGCAGGCGAAATATGGATGGAAACATTCGATCCAATGATAGCTAACAATATGAGCGAAATTATACTACAGTAAGTTCAAGGGACAGAAACCTTTCTTTCAACCTTCTTGAAATTTGTATTATGCAGACCACGTGGTGGTTCATCGTATTGAATTTATTACGAGATTCAATTTTGTTTTTCATTTTAAAACTTTTGGGATTTACAACAATTTTTTCTACAAAATTTCATTATGACGATTGTTGTTTATTTACTCTTGTTAATAAATTCTTATCGGCACAAGAGTTGGTCGATAAAGACTCAACTTAAAAACTGACGATATTCTGGATGATTTGAATAAAGTGATCAAAGATATATCTTAGACAATTAAGTATTTATACTCACTTTCCATCACATTTCTGATTAACAAAAGTGAAATTTTATTCATGAACCTTTGAATTTTTAATTATTTAAATAGATACGATATTGGGTTCATTTTTTGTTGATCTCACCGATTTATCTTCTTAGAGTTAAATGTTTAATTATGCAATGCGATGAGATGTAGAAGAATTTAGAAAAGAAAAACCTTCAAGATGGAATTTTACAAACGTTACAATGACTTCTTCTTCTATAAAGACCGCAAACGACGAATCAAAAGAGAAGGGGGAGAGAGAGAGCGAGAAAATGTTCAAGGTTTATTTTGTTGTTTATCATAATCAAGTCAACCATTCAAGGGTATGAAATCAGATAAATATGGAATGTCTTGAAATTTTTATTAATCACACAGTTAATCAAAAATGCTCAAAACTTAATATTAAAGCATTAAGGTTTTATTTTAAAACCGAATTCATCGAATGATTAAAGTTATTTGAAATTGAAAGATATTTGAATTCGTCAACCTTATTTTAATATTTTCCACATTTAAAATACATTAACGTACGACACTTGTTATTCAAGTGTGAAAGTTTTTGTTCATCTCATGAGAAACAAATATTGAAATTATTATTTATTTTTATATTTCAAATTACATTTTTTTGCTTTGTGTTAACTTTAGTACTGCTGGAAGCAAAAGATCATTGAAAACAGAAGAAAATTTCGGACCAATCATGCGAATTCGTTCGCAATCTGCAAATGAAGCTTCCAAACCAATGAAACCACATCGTTCAGCTATTGGAATTAAGCCAAATGTTATGGGTATGTATTTTTGGGATTTTATTAAAATTGATAATAGATTTTCGAATGGATTTTAGAATGGTGTAGTACTCTAGAATTTTTTTTCTTGCGTTAATTATTTTTCACCTCTTGGGAATGAAATTCATTCATATCTAGATTTTTCCTAACAAATATGTATTTAAAAATTGGGTTTCTTGTATTATATGAATCTATTTTTCTGTTTTTTTAAATGTATGTACACAAATATTTCGGAGAAAATATTAAATAAAGCACATTATATTGATGTGTTTCGTTTTCATTCATGTTCATTATAAAAGGAACAAAAAAGGGTTTCATCACATAGGGAGTGTTAAAATCGCAATGCGTTTTCATTAATGTTTTTTAATTGCACAAGATTTCTCATCTTTTAATGAAAAGTTTTAGAGTTTATCATAACAAAAAAAAAATTATTTTAAAATTTATTAAGTGAGAGTCTCATTTAACACTACACAATAGCGATAAAATTGAAGAGAATTTTGACAGCTTATAAGAATTGATAAAACTTAACATTAAAGTTTAATTGCCTGTAATATATAGATTGACAATTTGCTTTCGAATGAGTAAATGAAAGGTCAATTGCTATTAACATTTCAAATCATAACTATGGACCAAACCACTTACTGTGAGATATCAGGGCAAATAACCGATCGTTTTCTCGAATTATTCAGATAATCAAAGCTTTCAAAAGGTCGGCGAATTGATATTTTTGCACGCATATCATTTTATTTATGCTGCTATAATATCTAGAAAAGTAAATTAAAAATGTCTATTGATCTTAAAAGGGCAGTTTTTAAAGTAACTTTATCTCAAAAAAAACTTTCCCTATTCCCACAATTTTTCGATTAATTGCACAGCTTATATACAAAGTGTCGTTCCTGCTATTGTAGAATTTCCCCTGTATGTATTTTTTCTTAAGAACACTATTTATTTTATGACGTGCTAGATAAACATAGACAAAGTAGGAAAGAAAATAAGCTCGTTAGTTTTCAATTAAGCAACGAACCATATTTTATATTTTTCATGTGAACAAATACTCACTTATTTTTTAAATGATAATTTACATTAAATTAAAACAATCTAGTGATTATGCTTTTCACGTGTTTCAAATGAACATAAAAATTCTTTAAAAAATTTTCATAATGTTGTTACAAGAAGATTTGAAGAATGAAAGTTTACAACGGGCGTTATAAAACTTTTTTCTCTTTGTTTAGTCGAATTTTGCTTAATGTTTAATTGCAACATCGACGTGAATAAAGTAATTAATTGATGTTTATTGTGATAGTTCAGAAGTAGTGCATTTTAATAGGGCTTCGACTGATTACAATTCATTCAAATTAAGTTGAACCAATTAAATATTACGAAACAAATAGGGGAACAGAAAAGGAACATAAATCTGTTCCGAAACAGTTCTGCTGTTTTTTATTTGATAAAACATTTAATTTTATTGGAGATGTTTCCAAAATTTTTATCATTTAAAAAAATTCTTGCAGAGACTACCAATTTTGCATCCGATTCAACAGAATCATCGTTTTCTTCTGCTACCAGTACAACCTCAACCAGTACGGTAGTTTGCAATTTCAATGCGCTTAAGCCAAAAAACAATCAGACACATTCAGTGAGTCAAACATCACTTCAGTCAACGGGCATCGCCACAGTTACTTCCAAAAAACATAATCCTTCAGCTGTAGATGAGTATAATAAATGTCAGCTACTTCAATGCTCATACGCTAATCTGACGCCCTATTCAACTCAAAAGGATCAACCAAACGTTTCAACATCATCTAATGATGGTACGAATGAGTTTAGAATTAGAGGAAGAAGATTAAAATGTTTGAATCACCGAAAAGAAAAGTTTTAAAGTTGCGTTAGACAAAAACATCTTGAATTTTTTTTCACACATTTAAATATATTTTGAATGAAGGAAAATTTTCCAATAAATATCGTTGGGTTCTTCAAGATTTTCAACAGCGACGATAAAACAATTTTTGTCGGTGAAATTCTCTTATTTAAAAAATAATTATTATTCATTGATTGGCTGCTCTTAAATTGTTGCTTGTGCTGATATGGAGGAAGTTATTGCAAGAAGAGTTGATTAAGGCTATTAAATCATTTTAGATGCTTTATCCTAGTTCTTTATTTGATTGCATCATCTTATTTATAAATAAGTACTTCCCTTCCTCTTCCTTTCGAAGTATCAAAATTAAAGATGACTGCTGCTTTGAAGAGATATTTATTTGATGTTGAAAATGACAATTCACTTCATCGTTTTCACCTCACACACAATTAATATTTTTTAAAAAAAATAAAGACAAGAATCAAAATCTATAGCTGAAAGCTGAAAAGTTGAGACATAATTTAAATAAAATGACAATGAGTTTAACTTGTTACTACGATATATCTACTTCTTAATAGAATGAAAAGGGAAAAGAAAGATTTTTCTCATTATCTTGTCTTGTAATGCTACCAGCTTTTCAATAAACCTTGTATTTTTATTCCTTTATAATTTCACGCCAACGTGGTGTGTTTATGACGTGTAATCAAATACATTATTCCTAATAATGTGTTATCGAATGCCACTTCACGTGAATATTTTATGTTCAAATTCTTCACTCAAATTTTTCGTACGTTTGCTTGATGGTTTTTTTGTTCAAATAGATATTTGTTTCAGTTTTATGAAAAACTTTAAATAGAAATGAATATTCAAATATGTTGCAACATTATTTTTAAATACTCTCCTTTGCAATCGTGCATTTGCAACCTATTTGATATATGAAATTTAATTTAAATGACATAAACAGTTTAGATAACTTAAAACACTTTCATACTTTTCACTTAACATTTAATTTACTTTAATAACCTTTTCGACAGCAAAGCTGTCATCATCAGAACATTTGGTTCAATACTCAATACTCAGTTTAGATAAATGTTTTTTGGGGTAACAAAATTTCAATCTTTTCTATAAGCATGATTTAATTATATTTATTTTTTTGAACGACATGAGACGGAAACGATAAACGTTAAAAAAAATGTTGAAAAAACAGTCTTTCAGTCGCATTGAAGGTTCAAAAAAACATTGAGCTTTGACAGCTCATTCCTCAATCAAAAAAATCTAAAGCCATTTCAATATTCTAGTTTTTGGTTTTATAAATATACGGATGCAGTTAAAAAGTATAAATGTACATAAAATGTAATACTTAAAGTAAAATCACACACTGAAAAAGATAATTACGACGAAATTTTCTATTGTTATGATTCCAATCAAAAGTGATTAAAAGGAAAGATGACATGACGTTAAACATATTCCACTCCTAAACGGCTAAGTGTTGAAAATAACGTAAAATTTCAAGAATTGCCTTAATTTATATTGAGTGTAAAGTTCCGAATATTACAACTTAAAATGAGATCTAATGTCAAATACTGATTGTATTAATTATTCATCCTTCATTAATTTCTAATTTACAAATAAAAACTTTTAATTTTGCACACTGCACTTCATTTTCTGTTTTTACTGCTATTCGTAGCGAATTTTTTTTATTGCGACGATCGAGTGAGTGAGTAAGAGATTCGATTGAAGGAGAACAAAACAGAGTTGGGGAGGGAGAGAGAAAGAGTGAGAACGAAAAACAAAAGTTTATAATGAATGTAAAAGTGCCACTTCCATTTAACCAACCAATAACAATTAACATTTTCATTATAAGAGCCTGAACATTTATTTAGACATTTTCAACTCATTTACTACATAACCATTAATTAATTTATGTATTACCTCTGCGTAAATATTGAGCTCGAATAATTCCTTCCACATTAACTCTTTAATCAAATACTTAATTAACTTTATTTTTGGATTTTGTATCAAGAAAAAATTAAACTCTTCTGATTTGTTTGTTTAATCAAATACCGAAATATTATTTTTTATTGCATTTAGTTTTAACGGAATCATCCACCTCGACAATCTGTCATCAAAGAGCATTTTCTTTACCACAAAATTCAAATCTTAACGTTAACAATGACCATAATGTACCATCATCAGTGGGAAATGCAAGTAATAACAATGGAAAATCATTTACCATTGTACCGGTGCACCAGCGAACTAGATCATTACCATTAACTGAAGAGACCGCGATTGATATTTCTCAATCGTCTCCAATTTTTGCGAAATTTCTTCCATTATCATTTGGAGTAACGAATGTCGTTGAAAACACAACGAACTCAAAAATTAACAACAATTCGATGGAGAGTATCATTGAAGACTATCAAAACGTGGATTTGTCGAATAATATTAGTGTTCGGTCGAATAACGGTGGTAATACTAGCATCCTAAAGCAGTTATCAAAAATAGGCCATAACAGTGCATCTTCACCATCACAGCTTCGTAAGAAACGACAGCATCACAATGTCATGACCGCGTCATTGAGGAGTACGTATCATTATCTACATACATTCACCAACAACAAAGCAAACTTTAAATGTTGTGAATCACAACAAAGAAAAAACCTTCTAAAAAATAAACCGAAAATATCTTTTCTGACACTAATATCTGCATATGGTGGCTCTTCACTATCTTTAAAAGAGGAATGTTGATGAAATGAAAATGGCACTTTATGATTGCGCCTCAACATGAGTTCTTCGCACTAATCAAGAATAAATGAATGCAATTATTTGAGTTATCTCGATTGCAACTGATGTTATTATTAAAGCCACTCATAACATTCATTATCCTTCATTTTAAAGTTTTCATAATACATGTTAAAACATTGCTAGGATCCCTTAGTTGCCAGTGAGATGAAAGACTCCTTTCGCATTTTTTATTAAAGTATATTGTTTGCGTTGATGTAACTTCTAGTTGTTTTCTAAGAGAAAATTATTTTAGTTTTTAATATTTTAACTAAACAAATTGAATTTCATGAAAAATTTCAAATTTTCCACCTTATAGTTTGCAATTTCAGTTCACATTCATTTATTGCACGCGAAATCATTCATTAAAATTTAGTTATGAATCAAAGCATCATTGCATGTTTAATGTTTTAACTTGAGCAAATGGTTTTCATAATATTTTCGTTTACTTTCATACAACAAATAAATACAATTTCCTTTGATAAAAGAAGAATTTTTTTCTGATAATATTTAATAATCTTCATGATGATTTTACAGGTGGACAATCATACGATAATACGAGAACAAGAAGTGACAGTTTAAATTTATCGAGAAACAGAACAAACAGTGATAGTAGCGGTAGTGCTACAAATCCACCCCAGAATGGGAATTTCAGCTATCACAATAACAACAACAGCATGCCACCTCCGAAGAAAATCCCAAATCGACCACTTTCAAACATGTTTAATCAAAAGAGTAGTCCGCCAAACCATCAATCACCGCTTAGCCCTCCGTCAGCTTCATATTCCACTGAAAGTGACGGTTCGTCGATAAGTATCGATGAAACTGATTTTCCTCATCAGATGACATCTGACGAAAAATATTATCATATGAAAGAATATCAAAAGTAAGTTTACTTGTTTCAATGTTTGTCTAAATCTTTATTTTGTGTGTGAGAAATATTTATACCAAATTTTGAAAGAAGAAAGAAAAAAGATATGAAAAAAAGTCTTAAAATATCCCAACAGTTTAATCTCGTCTAGAACAACAATCAGTAAAGAAAATGAAAATTGGCATAGATGGAATAACAATCTTTCTCTACCTCTTAATAAAAAATACAGGAAGAACAGTCCTGCCCCTCCTGTTTCCAGTGATTATATGGATATGGGACCCTACAGCCCTTACGGCAGTAGTCCGGGGGATCCAACAAACAATTCAAACGTCTATATGCCAATGTCGCCTGGTGTTGATTACCGTGGAGGGTAAGTGAATTATTTTTTAAATTCTAAACAGCATTATTATAAAACTAAATTTCTATAAAAAAGATTATATACAAGCAGTTCAGGTGCACATAGTCGTGCATCAAGTCTTGCTGAAGACAATGAAGGTTACGTTCCTATGCATCCTAGTGGTACTATGGATACGATCCTTCCAACTGATGACTATATAAATATGCATCCTGCAGCAAGCATTAACAGTAGTCAAACTTCAACGCGCGGCGGAGATATTAGTTCAGCCACATCAAGTTGCAGCATCACCTCAGGAACACCCTCAACTGATATAAGATTTTCTGAATATCATTTGGATAAAGTTCAGGCCAGATTTACTCCTTGTGAAGATGACGACCTTTTGGAGAGACATCCACGAACATATTCAGTTGGAAGTAAACCTGAGCAAGCTAAAAGAAAGCTTCACATTGACCGTGTTGCAGCAGAACATTCGAATCATCGCCATCGAGCATATTCTGTAGGATCAAGAAATATTAAAGTGACAAGAGCGGAATTGACAAGTCATAGTGGAAGTCATACTCCATCACATAATTCTCCTACAGCAACTAATCATCATGAGATTAATAATAATAATAATAACAGCAGTTCAAAAAACAAAAAATCTTCAAGTGCGCCTTTACTTGCTAACAATTCATCAAAGACTGCATATGGAAGTTTCGACCATATGGACGATCTCATGGAGATTGATTTTAGTAGTCGAAGTACAGATTCGACAGGATCAAATCTCAATAATTTAGGGAACACGCCTGTGAAAAGTTCACCAATGAATATCCCAAACAAAGCTAATGATGATTATATAAATATGTCAGGAAGACAATCAAAACCTAACACGCCTTCAATGTCCCCATATGTTGATATGAGACCGACTAGCATTCGAAGAATTAGTGAGAATACAGATAATGACTACATGGATATGAATCCACCCTCAACAGGTTTGAGATCATCTAATAGTTTATCTAGCTCACCACTTAAAATCACAAGTGCACCTCGAACTGTTCCCTTACCTCCCACGTCACATAATAATCATTACGTGGATATGTCACCGCGTTCCTACGATGGAGGTTCTAGAAAAACCCGAAATACTTCCTCTATATCATCTCTTTCATCTGCTAAAGCTCCATCTGATGATTACTTGAACATGAGCCCGGTGAACAAAAGTCTAATGGAAGTTGATTTACCAAAACGTTCAAGTGTGCCAAATGTTCCCGACGGTTATATGGAAATGTCTTGGAAAATCAAGGGAAATAATTCATCATCAAATAATGATAAAAACAATGAGAATCCTTCGTCGTCTTCTGATGAATATATCAATATGGATTTTAGTAACAATAACGATGTCACTGGTACAAATGATTCGAACTCGTCAGCGAAAGATCGATCAATTTCACTTCCAATCAATATTCAGAAGCGATACAGTAGTTGTATCCGATCATCGAAAACAGCTAAAACGGGAAGTGTCGAAGGTGCCCCTCCAGTTTTTCTTCCGCTAGTGAATCCGATGACAGTTAGTGTAAGTCCAACAAGATCTTCAAATCGAACACGTTGCGATTCAAGAGACAGTGGAATTGTAACACCATCAAGTGGATCCCAAGCCACAATTTTCCCATTCTCACCAGCAAGTCCCAACAAACATTTTGAAACTTCAGATGACTCTAGTTTGGCAAGGAAATGCTTAGTTGATGGAACGACAGGTACAATCAAATTAAGTGAAGACGATATAATTGAAGAAGAACCACGCACGCCTGTTCCAACAGGCATGACAGGAAAAGTTGTTGAAATTCTCAGCAGTGATTATGCGATTATGAATCTCGGTGAACCTGTTTCAAAGAAACCAAATCTTGCAGCAACGCCAGTTCAAATGAAATCGTCAAATACTGCGACAAGTAATTTTTCACTTGATGCGGACTCAGAAAACCATGATTACATAAACTGCACACCTAACGCGCCTTTTTACTCATCCTCTAATATTTTAACGCCGACTCCAATTTCACTAGCTCAACCAGTGGCAGCTCATACAATAAAGAAGGAGTCCGACGACTATGCACTCATGAATCCGGGTAGAACAGTAGCCTTGTCGCCAGTTCAAGCATTTAAAAATAGTGACGTTCCACCACTTACTTCTAAGAAGTCACTTCTCTTAACGCTGTCAAGTCAAGAAAGGTTAAACAGCAACTCATGCTTCAAACCAATCGTAGAGGATGATGGTAGTCAAACTCATCCACATTTTCATCGGCAAACTTCTGAAAAGATTCGGCAGACGTCAAATGATGCTGCTTATGAAATTCTATCACGACCAACTTTTTCTCGTCCGAATTCAGTGAACAGTGAAAAGATTAAATGTTCGATAAGTTATCTCTCGAACAGACCAAGCTCAGCAAATAGTGAACGCTTGGTGCTAAGCTCTACCTCATCATCAACTTCTACCTTATGTTCGTCATCACAGACACTCCGTAATATGATGGACACATCAGCTGTACCTTCACCAATGAGTGGATCTTCTAGACCTGAATCAGTCTCATCTGATATTCATATGGCATCGCGTCCACCGTCAGTAACCTCCGAACGTGAGCTTCATTATGCGAGCCTTGATTTGCCTCAATGCAGTACCATCACTTCCTCAACAACACAGAAGATGGATGTCGATCCGAAAATGGACTGTTCCATAAGTCCTAGTCCTCAACAAACATCATCATCTTCTTCATCAGCCTCATCGCAACAATCTCAGCAAGCTTTCATATATGCTCAAATCGATTTTGAGAAGTCTGAACTTTTGAAAGCTCAACAACAACAAAATCAATCAGGTAGTAATTCATAAAAAAAATATTAAGAAGTTATTGTCTGGCAAGAAGGTAACTGTTTTATTTTACAATCAAAACAAATGAACAGCAAAGGAATAGCCACATGAAAATATGGCTGAAAAAATGAGAAAAAAAAATTGATTATTGGCCCAAATCTGCACCGAAATTTAAGTGGTGCGGATTTCGGTCTTTTACCTAGTATGACAATGCAATTAGAAGATATTAAATAGATAAATGTTTCACGCGTATTAACAGAAGAAATAATTTAAGCCGACGAAAAGATTATAATGTATTTAATCTTGAAACTATAAATTGTATTTAACTTATATTTAAAACCTAGATTCTAAGACGATAGTTATGAATAAGTTAAGGGAAGTAAAATAAAATAATTTTAAACTAATCTTGAAACAGAAACCAATACGTTTATGCATGGTATACTAATTCATTATATAATATAACATAGTGCTTAAGAATGCTAAGCTAAGAAAAAATAAATTAGTAATATCATGAGTAGTTTATACACATAAATCGAATGCCAAGATGAGATTTACAGTTGAAACTACATTTTATAATTTCAAAAGGCCGAATGTCGAAAAATTTTCAATTAAAAAAAAAGAATTCAAACAAATTTATCAAATCAATACATCAAAAAATTTGGATTCCTTTCTATAACAAAGAGACTGCCATTAATTACCTTGATTTTAAGTAGTATAAGTACATAAACAATTAACATTTTTAAAAAGGAAAGCAAGAAAACTTTTAGTTCTTGTATTTGTTAGATAATTGATTTTTTAGCACAATAAAATCACTGAAAATATAGATAAATTAATTTGAATTTCTTGTTTTTAATCCACATAAACAATTTAGACAAATAATTGCTTGCAACATTATATGTAGATATATGGGTTGAAATAAATTTATCAAGCATTGCTTCTTTATCTTATTAAAAAAACTGAGTGACGCCAAAAGTTTTACTGGATTTAAATTTAGCACCATTTACGCTTTAATAGTTAGACAAAATATTTTGAAAGTTTCATAAAAATGACTTAGAATGTCAAGCAACTTTTAAGTCTTACTTATTGTGTAAGAAAGTTGTAAATTTAAAAGATAATTTATGTAACTACCGCTAGACTATAAAAAAACGAAAATTCAAGAATTCTACCAAAAAAGAAAGGCTCACTGGAAGTTTCATACAATTTGAATGTAAATTGTGTAGACATCACATGTTCGATCAATGTAGATCTAATAAACATATAACTGAAATCAATTTAGCAAACATAATATCTAAGAAACATAAAATAAATTGGATGAGATGAATACGTTATCAAGTATTTAGTTATTAAGGAATGAATTCAATGTAGAACGTGGAAAATATTTACTCATTTTATAATCTATTTAATCAGCTACATATTGAAAAAATCATGAGAAAAAGCTATTTAAGAAAACCAAATGAACATGGGAAAACATTTTGTAAGTCATTAGATGACATTAATTGAATAATAAAATAAAATATTTAAGCTTTGCTTCAAGAATTCACATAAGTTACGATATCGAACGATTAACGTACGTGAGTGTGCAAGCGATTTTCCGTTTAATATAGATAATACCGATACGGATAATTGTTGAATTTCAATTTTATTATGAAAATTTTATTTTTTTTTTGTTATTGAAATTTCTATTTTTATTTCATATTTTATCCTTTCGATCGAGAGTTGACATTTTCTTGTAATTCGTCTGAGTTTTCCTAAATATTTTTTTTTATAATTTCAACATAAAAAATATTCACACAATAAAAACAAAATTTATGAGTTAAAAGACTTTTTCTTTTTTCCTTTCCCAATTTTTCTTTATAATTTTATGTTTACACTTGCGTACTTAGAAAAATATGTTTATAAGAATGACGAGGATGAGATACTGACGTAAACGCAACACAGGAATACAAAATACTTTAGGGAATATTTTAATATTGTTTATCGTTCTACTTATCGCCATGTATTGTATATTCTAATATCTTATAAAAATTAATGTGTATATATCTCCCAATCTTCTAATAAATTAATTAACATCACATTTTCAACAACTATTTTCTCTAAGAAAAATAGAATTCAAAAATGGTGCTAAATTATTCCTAAACCTATTTAACAAAATAATGGTAAAATAAATAAAGTAACTTCTTTTATAAAATAAAAAAAAAATCATAAAAAAAAATAATTAAAAAGTAATATTTACTGCCAATAGTTTATCTAAGAAAGTTTCTCTTTTTTAATTTGCTTCCACGTTATCATGCATTCTGGTCGAAAATTAAATAGAATTGAGAATCGATATACATATTTTTGTATTCAAATTTCTAATCTATTTATTAACTATTCATCTAATTATACTTATAAATTCGAAATAAGCGTGGTTTCATCAATTTTAAATTAGGGTGGAAAATTTAAGGAATATTTTTGGTGTTTATAAATCAAATCATTTTCCCATTAATCTGTTAAGAAAAAATTCAGAAGATATCAAGTTTTTAAAGCATTTTCTCTAAATAGAAAAGAAACCTGAGTTTTCAATATATAAACTTAAACGGAGTTGCTTATTGGAAAGCTCATGGTTCTAATGTCTCAAAAAGACAAATCTCCCCGAAATATTTCTCCCTTTAATAAAACCACCACATCAGTAAAACACGAAAGAAATTGAGTGTTGTGCACTATTTAGCATTAAAGAGAGTAGATAGCCAAATATACATTTTTTGAAAAACATAGTTAAGAGACTTAATGTAGGTGGAGGGATCTTTTGATGAACCGAACCAGAACATAAATTGCAATACCAAATTGTGTTTCAGATAATTACGTTATCAATCATTCAAGCTGAACGATGTTAAATAGTTTCAATGCCGAAAACATGTTCATAAATTACAAATTTTATTTTACAGATTTTTCAGTTCCTTTTTCGTCTAAGGGAAAATATTTTCTTAGAATACTTTGCATTTCTAGAAATAAAAAAGAATGAAAAACGGAATATGTATCTGCAATCCTGCAGATTTCAATGAAGATAATGTTGCCTCTATTTAATTTTTACAAGCTTTCGTTTTTTCCTAAGGCTAAACCTTAAGCAGAATGCTTTCACTATGCAGAAGACTACAAAATTTGATATTCACAAATCTGTGCGTGATAAAAAGATATGCGTAAAAATGTATGTTTTCCTATCAATTTTTTAATAGAGATTGAACAGAATTTTAAAAACTTCCATGATATTAAGTAACGTTGAAAAAAGAGATTTCGCTTGTTCATCTGGAATAACAATTCAATTTTTTTTTCATAAAGTAAAACCAATACGTTGATAGGCAACAATATCTTCAAAACTAAAACAATGTTCCAATAAAATTATTATTAAAGAAATAATTTGCTTCTCTAAGAAATGACTTAAGATAGAAAATTGTAAGCTTCGAGCGATGATAAGTTTGCCGGTTTAATTTAGAAGAGAATAAATGAGTGTTGCAACATAAAATTATGGTAAATCAAATGACATAGTTAATTGAGAAAATAAAAAAAAAACTTTAAAAGTGTAAGAAAAATACGATTAGAATAAGTTAAAAAGATTCAGTTAATTTAATTAAGTTATTTAATTATTAATAATAAATTAAATTATTTGAAACTTGTATTTTTATTAGACTACTTACGATATGGTATAAATATAAGACATTATATGTTATACTTTTTTGATGAGTTGAAAGAAATTTGGATGAGATCGGAAGAGCGTCGTGTAGGGAAAGAGTGTA